ATCAACTCTTACTCATGCTACAGTAGAAAGGTAAAGACAAAGAATCAATCACGTTGACTGGTCCAACTTTGAAATTTCTGTCTACTAAACTAATAAGTTTTTAATGCTACTTGAGCCCATTTGCTATTCTATTATCCTAGCCAACTATCTCATACCTTAGTCTCTCACGTTGAATTTAAAACACCTCCTTTAAACACCTTTTAAAACTACCATTGCACTGGTAGTCAACAACTTTACTTCCTATTTCACTAAAAAACAAAAGAGAACAATTGAAAATTTCTATTCAAAAGCATGATAGAAAGATGGGATGTTAAGCAAAACTAACATGTACTGTGAAGATTACCCATAGAGACATATATTCCTTTTATACAGATATTTAGCAATGAATAATGATTAAGGACTTACTACACCCATGCACACACACATAGGAATTTCACAAGAAACTATATTTACTGAAAAAAAGTCTTAGCCCCTTATTCAATCTTTTGTGGCCCAGAAGTCCTATCCAATGTGCCCCCAGAACAGTCTTGTAATTTCATTTATCAAAGAGGGGAGGAGCTTAGCATTAGCAGTCTTTTGAAATGTAGCCTGAAAGCCACCAAAACAGCTATTGCTACTGCTAAAACACTTTAAGATTCACTGTTTCTTGTGAATCCCACACCCACATTTGGGAGTGTCTTATCTTTTCCTTGAATGTTTCTCTTTTTATACTTCTCCTGCTTAAACGCATGTTAATCTCTCTTCCTAATAAACTCCACTCTTTTCCATGCTGGCTCATCCCACAACTCTTTTTTGAAGCAAAGTCAAGAACCCTAGCTTTATTTGAGCAGAGGTCTCTGCAAAGAACTCAAAACTAGTGTTGGTTGTAACATAGAGTTGTGTCAAGCTCTTGCCCCATGCTACTGACATGCTAACAAGTTTTGTTTGTTTGTTTGTTTTTGTTTTTTTAAAACCACAAACACCTGTGTGCTTTCTGTCTGCCTCTTTGGATTAGCTGTCCACACTCCATCTTTTGCTTGCCTGAAAATGAGCAGTCTCAAGTTCAGCCGTTTAAACATTTAAGTCTCCAGGCTTACATGCACTTGGTTTATTCCAAGGAAAACAAGAAGCTGATTAAGCAAGGTACAACTAAAAGGCCAGGAAGGAAAGTAGCTGATGATGAAATAGAGGTATACAAGGGTCAGAATGCCAACCATATCTATATCTTCTACCCCAAAAACTCCCACTTAGTCCAGTTATCTGTTCTTGATCTCTGATTCCACAGATCTGTTCAGATTCCACATCTACATGGCTTTAATGGGAAAAGATTAAATATTAAATATAAATAGAGCATTTAACACAAAACTTGGTACTGGTCTCTATTATTAATTTATGTAATTCATCAAAGTAAAGAATGCTAAGCTTGGCAATTAGACATAAGATGTAAGTAAAAAACACTGTGAAAAGGAGCACAATGAATCAAATAATCATAAATCTAATTTTACTGGCTAATATCTACAGAATGTAATACTAATAGTTAACAATAGTTAGAAGTGAGATTTAAATAATTCAATCTCATACAAGATTTGGATTTCATATCTTTTAGCAAACTCAATACATGTTTTGTGTTTTCACATTTAAAATACAATAATATGACAACATACTATTACAAAAGTCAGCTAGGTTGTAATGGCTATAATCTCAGCACTTGGGACGCTGAGGCAGAATTGTAAATTCGAGGCCAGCCTGAACTACAGAATGAGACTGACTCCAAAAGTGGAGGGGGAACTAGGGAGACAGTTCTTAGAGGCAGGAGAACCTAAACTTAGTCTCCAGAACTCAAATACAAAGCCAGGGTGTGTGCTTCTAATTTCAGTAATGGCAAGATGGAAAGTGGACCGTCTTGGTTAGGGTTTCTATTGCTGTGAAGATATACCATAACCACCACAACTCTTGTAAAGGAAAACATTAGTTGTGGTGGCTCACTTACAGCTCATATGTTTAGTCCATTATTGTCAGGCAGAGAGTATGGCAGCATACAGGTAGACACGTGTTAGAAAAGGTGCTGTGGGATAGTGGGCATGGCCTGAGCATACATGAGACCTCAAAGCCAACCTCCACAGTGACACACTTCTTCCAACATGGTGACACCTCCTAATAGTGCCACTCCCTTTGCGGTACATTTTCTTTCAAACCACCACATGGTAACAGTCAGATACCTCCAAGTTGGCTGGTATGCTAGTCTATGTGGTGATATTTTGGTTATGATCTAACAAATAAAGTTTACCTGAAGATCAGAGTGCAAAGCTAGCTACAGTAGCTACTAGCCAAAGAGGCCAGGCAGTGGCGGTACACATCTTTAATCCCAGCACTTGGGAGACAGAGGCAGACAGATCTCTGTTAATTCAAGGCCTCACACAAAGGTGATCCCAGCACTTGCAGTGAAATGCCTTTAATTCCAGCACTAAGGAGGTGGAGACAAGGAGTGATACAGCTGGTTCAAGAAAGGAGTATGAGGCGGGAGTAGACAAGAGAGCGGGGGAGGGGGAGGGAGACAGTCTGAGGATTTGTAGAGACAGATACAGTCTAAGCAGTCAATCTGAAGAAGTCTGAGGATTCATAGAGTAGGATCATCCATTTGGTCTGAGGTAGAAGTAAGCTAGTGGCTGGCTGCTTTGCTTCTCTGATCTTCCAGCTCCTTCCCCCACCCCATCCCCAATATATGACTTCTGGTTTTAATTATTAATACCACTAAGAATTCATGCCACAAGCCTACTTGGCAAAGTTCTAGGCTAATGAGAGAGACCATGTTTTGCACTAAAGGTGAGAAAACTTGAATGACACTTGAGACTGTCCTCTGACCACCATATGCACATTCATGCGCATCCACACACAAAACAAAACGTATGACTGTGATCCCCACCCCCTTCTCTCTCAATAAACAAATAAATAAATAAATCTTACTGTGCTATAAATCTTAGGACATTGTCCCCCTGCTTCTTTACTGAAAAATTTCATCTCTCCCCCTAAAGGAAACATTTTACAGATGCTCATCCTTTTGTTTTCCTGAACATAAACACTGCAGTGCAAAGATAGTACAAAGTTATTAAGTGGTAGGTAGCTCAATGGGTGGGCAGCATATATAGCATGAATATTCGAGACAAAGGGATGCTTCCAACTTCTACCCTGCGGGTCAGCAAACTACTCAGAATTTACAGATGGTTTATTTTTGGAGTTTTCCCATTTAATGTCTCAGCCCTCGGTCGACCTTGGGTAAGTGAAATTGCAGAAAATAAAAACCACAGATAATAAGAGACTACTGAATCATCTCCCTGGAGCTGACATTTCACCAAGACCAGAGAACATAATCAGCAAACACAGAAGCCAAGAGCAGAACTGGTCTTTATGTGTATGCTTTGTATTTTTAACACGGAAACTCTCCACAGCAGTGCTAGCTTCCTTCTGCTGGTTCCTCTTTGATTTCTTAGTATTCCCTGTTGGGTTCATTTTCTTTTTCACTCTGGCCTGCCTTTCCCTTTTCCCTTCCCAAAAGATTCTTAATCTCCTGGGTAAGTGCAAAGTAAGTATAAAACCTAATCATAGACCTTTAATGACTAGAAAGGACTTTAAATATCAGTGTTTGTGGATAAAGAAACTGAAGCATGGAAACTATTTGCCTAAGGTAACAGAGCTAAGTAATACAACTGAATCAAAGACCCGTGAGTCTTAATTTCCCGTTTTTCTTGCTTCAACTCAGTCTACTTACTTAAATAAATACTCTTAAGCTACATTTATTATTTAGAAATCAAATAAGCTTCCTGGTGCTAATCTAATCTGAAAGGATACTTAACTGTTGGTATATTCTTGGGAATAATTCCAAGGGGTGACCTCATGCTACTCTTACCATGTAATTATGGTTAAATGCTGAGATGATTGAATTCTACCCATATACATAGGCTGCTATATTTTGGAAGAAGCGGAGTTGACACAGACAATACTTGATGTCTTATTTTCATTAGTATTATTAAAAGGCCTTAACATTTACAATTAAGAAATTATCATTAATGAATTATATCTAGAGGATACATATACAAGTATGTACATCTATCTGATGAGTTAGGTAGCTCACCAGAAATTATCAGAATGGGCTGACTATCCCATCCACACCTATTCCACCCCACTCCCAGGACCTCCAACCAGCTTTAGAAAGGGAGAATGAGGTGCTGATACTCAGGCTTTGGATGCTCATTAGGAGAAGCTCTTTCTTTCTGTTTAAGAACAGCCATTACCCTGATTTACTTATGTCATTTCTGTGACAAAATGCCTGACAAAAGCAAGTTAAGGAAGGGTTTGGCTCCAAGTTTGAGAGTATAGTCCATTACTGGAGGGAAGCCATTGTGGCAGGAACATGAGGCAGCTGGCTACGTTAAATCTGCTGTCAGGAAGCAGAGAAATAAAAACTGGTGCTCTACTCACTTTCTCCTTCCCATTCAGTTGGGAACCCAAACAACAGAATGATGCCTGCCTATATTACATCAGTTAAACCTTTGGGGAAATACCCTTGTAGTAACATGCAGAGGTGTTTCCATGCTAATTTTAAATATTATAAAGTTGACAAGTAATAATCAATTACATTTGCTTTATAACTTATTTTTTACTTTTCTTTAATTATTTAACCTACTCACTCTGTTACATGATTTTTGGTGCAAAGAATGGGACCTGAGTTCTACCTCTAACCCTGAGTAAACACTACTCTAATATGCCCAAAAGATTATTCTCAAATTACAAAAATATACTATTGTCCCCTCCTGTAAAAGTTAACTCAAATGAGCCTATCAATCACCTGAAGAGGAATCTGCCCTCAGGAAAACTGTCCATTCTAATCCAAAGGTTGAAGAAACAAAACACATCTGAAACCATATTGAGGACAACTACTTAATGAAACTGGAACTTGTATACTACAGATGCCCCTCCACTGATGCAGTTGCTAACAGAACAGCACTGCTAAACATGTCACTCACCAAAAGTTGCTTGCCCTGATATGCTGAACATTCTCTATTCTCATTCTCTTGTTCTTTCCCTCCATGGCCATGCAGTTGCTTGTGGATCTCCATTGCTAAACCAAACTACTACTTCGACCTCTAACTTGAATGCATTTCCCTCCTTTGGGAACCTGCACAAATCTCCAGTTTGCCTGCCTGTCAGGTTTTGTTTGTTTGTCTGCTCCTCTGAAATCAAATAAACTATCCTCAAGTATGTTTCTAGGTTCACTTTTAATTTTTTTAACCTATCAGACTAAGAACCCACAAACACAATCCTGTGTTCCCTAAAACATCTTCATGACCCCAAACAGAAATATACTCACGTTCTAAGCCAACATTTTTGTCTCTTTTCTTTTTTTTTTTTATTAAAAGACTTATTTTTATTTTATGTGTATGGGTGTTTTGCCTGCATGTCTCTCTGTATACCACATGCATGCAGTGCTTGAGGAAGCCAGAAGTGGGGGGAAAAAAAGGTGTGAGATCTCCTGGAATTGGAGTTAGAGAGCCATGTAATGCTGGGAATCCTCTAAAAGAGTAGCAAGTGTTCTTAACTTCTAAGCCTTCTCTCCAGCCCTATTTTCTTTTCTTTATAGGACTTGACTTGATTGTAATAAGAGTTGAAAGAATCATATGGAAGAGAAATGATCAAGTCGATAAATTCTCTTGCACAGTAGCAAACTAAGCACTCCTGATTCTGTGAGTGTTCTACAGAAGCTCCTATGGGAGTTTTAGGCTGTAAAACTATTATCCTTTTTCTTTTCTCCCCACTTGAAAAATGAATGTGCTTAACAATAGTACAAAAGTTCAAGCTTGACGTTGTCCAATAAGGAAAAATGGGGTCTCTTCAAGCATGGTGATTCACACCTTTAATCCCAACATTTGAGAAGCAGAAGTAAGTGGGTGTCTGAGTTTGAGCCCAGCCTGAACTACATAGTGAGATCCTGTATCAAAATAAAACAAACAATACAACAACAAAAAACATCCACCATCTAGCTTGCACCCTGGTAGGTAGCTACTATTAGTGCTGTTAGCCTTTATTCCAATTGTGTGTGGGGGGAGGATAACTGATTCTTCTATATTAATTAGAAAAATTTAAATATGTAGCCATTAAATTTATTATGTGGGAACTTGCTCAAGAGATTTAATAAATTGCTTTCTTAAGATTAGGAGGCTTTAAGATTAAAGGACCCTGAGAAAACCCAACTTGCAGGACTCCTATAGCCACTGGTGAGAAAATGGAGATATCCAAAGGGAAGTAAGTACATGTTACTGTGGAGAAACTTGGTTACCAGTTACTTGGAAGATTATAGAAATTTTCAGTGGTAGGGCACAGTCAGAAGTACACCTCTTGAGACACGCCTCTCTGTGATGTTTTACCTGGCCTCTGGGCCCTTTCTCTCTCTCTGCATCTTGCCTACTATGGAGTAAACAGCAGTGATGCTCCTCCCAACTGTACGGGATGAGTAACCTTGGATTGAATTTTCTCAAACCTGAGCCAAAGCAAGTCTTACTTCCCATTTCTGTCAAATATTTTAACTATGGTTAACAACAACAAAAACTAGTACACAGGAATATTGTAATTTGTTCTTTTAAACACTTGGTTTAAAATTATGCATAATACATAATTAAGGCAATTTCTCTTCCTCATGAAAGTTCTCATTAACTTTTGCTTTGTCCATTTTCACCTGGTAAGTTAGACTCTATTTTCACTAGGGAAACTAAATCAATCTATAGATAATTCCCATATTGCTATGGTTTGAACTTTAAATGTTCCGAGGCACCCATATGCTGAAGGCTTGGCTGACAGCACCTAACAGGAAGTGGTAGAACCTTTAAGAAGGGAAGCCTCCTAGGAAGTTGAGAGCAAGTGCCTTGAAGGGAATATTGGGACTCTAGCTCCTTCCTTTTTGTTCAGTTTTTGCTTTGTGACCCCCTGAGGTTAGCAGCTTTGCTCTATCAGCTTCCCTACCTTGATGCACTCATTCACTATCTGGCCAGATGCCAACCTACTCTGCTGAAACCTCTCCACTACCTCTGATTTATCTTAGGCACTTCTCACTACTGTGGAAGGCTAATGTACAGTTTCTTTCTATCGTTAGCTATTAACTTATCCTCTGCTTTATTTTGTTTGTTTTGTTTTTCGAGACAAGGTTTCTCTGTGTAGCTTTGGAGCCTATCCTGGCACTCGCTCTGGAGACCAGGCTGGCCTTGAACTCAGAGATCCGCCTGCCTCTGCTGCCTGAGTGCTGGGATTAAAGGCGTGCGCCACCAACGCCCGGCTTCCTCTGCGTTATTTTTATCAGACTCTTAAGGTCAATTCTTTCAAGGCTGGAAGATGGCTGAGTGGGTAAAGTGCTTACTTTGCATGAGGACCTGAATTCAGATTCCCACCAACCATGGAAAGCCTGGCCTTAAGGTGTGCATCTCCAAAGCCAGTACTGGGAAACAGGCAGACACTCTTGGGGCCCACTGGCCAGCAAGCCAAGCTAAACAGATGAGTCCCAGGTTCAGTGAGACCCTGTCTCAAAAAATAAGATAAGAGAGCAAATAAAGGGAGGTACGTGACAGTGACTTCTGGCGTCCACACAAGCATGCACCAGCAAACACACAGGAACAAAACAAACCTACTCTTAATCCTTTTTTTGTCTGTGCACTAAATCTCTTGCCCTTTCTTTTTCTCCAGTACATTGCTTTTGGAGACCATTCCCCGTCCCGCACTACTATCTTCTCCTTCCTCTTATCTTCCTCATTCATAAACAGACCTGTAACATCTTCCATGCATCTCCCCTGCCATCTGACTCTGCACTGACTCTCAGGACACAACACCATTTGGGATACTGCAGTACTATCTTATTTCTCAGTGTCTATTCTATTGATCCTTGAACCCAAATTTCACATTTTTTAGAACAGTCGTTTCAAAATTCAAAAGTGATGATGTAAGGCAATATAGTAGTTAAGAGCACAGATTTTTGTCCAGTGGATAAAGCATGTGCAATGTAAGCTTAAGTACTGGAGATCAACTGATCTCCGCATCCATATAAAAAGTTAGGCAAACATGGCAGCCTGCTTGTATCAGAGAACTCACAGGATACAATGGGGAAGACACACCTGATTTTGGTCTCTCAGGCTTAGACTCCCTCAGAGCGATGTCTCTGCCCTGTACCGTCGGCCTTTCTAGAATCACTCTCCATCTGCACTCCTCTGGGCCCCAACAGATTGACTGCATCAGTGAATGCTCTTGTTTCTAACTCTTCCTTGGGCTCAGGCTATGGGTGGGACAAACAGGATAAAAGTCAAGGTTCTTACTTGTCTGGCAATCTGCCTATCAGGAACCTGCAAGTTTCCTATGTTCCTCTACTGAAAGTATGCCTCAGTCAAATCTATGTAAGAGCCTTGCAACTGTTTCCTTCTCTTGCCTTTAAGGCCTAAGTAGTAATAGTTCCACCTGTTACCATAACTACATTGGTAATGTACTGTTGCTACCTTTTCTTTATTGTTAGGCATGGTGGTGCACTCCTGTAAAATCAGTGCTTCTGAAGTGGGGGCAAGATCAGTTCAACTGACTATACAGCAGTTCAAAGCCAGCGTAGGTAAAGTGAGACCATCTCAGAAAACAAAACCATCTCTTTATTAAAGTTTTTGTTATGCAATATTAACTGAAGATGTGTTACATTTGTTTAAATGACCCAAAAATGTGTTACATTCTTTTATGCTGCATTTGTTTAAACACTGTGAAGCTGTGCTACTAGTCCTGTCTAAAACTCCTGATTGGTCTAATAAAGAGCTGAATGGCCAATAGCAAGGCACGAGAAAGGATAGACGGGGATGGTAGGCAGAGAGAATACATAGGAGAAATCTGGGAAAAGCTGTCAAGGTTCTCCAAAGGCCTTCAGACTTCTAGCTTCATCCACATTTTACTTTTCTATCAACACTAGTTATTTTCCTAATACACACTACCACGGGAATTTTTTGTTGTTGTTTTGCTATGTTGTTGACATTTTACTTTTCTATCAACACTAGTTATTTTCCTAATACACACTACCATGGGAATTTTTTGTTGTTGTTTTGCTATGTTGTTGTTGTTTGTTTGTTTTTCAAGACAGGGTTTCTCTGTATTGCTTTGGAGACTCTCCTGGAACTCACTCTGTAAGCCAGGCTGGCTTCCAACTCAGAGAGATCCACCTGCCTCTGCCACCCAAGTGCTGGGACCCAGGCTTACCACAGGAATTTACAGTGAACTTTCACGTATTTAAAAGTTAACTTTGGTGAACAGATTTTTTTTTCCCTGAAGTTTTACAAATGGGCTTAAGGTGTGGTCCTTTTGTTAAGTATCCCGGAAGACCTGGGTTCCAGTCACAGCACTGGGGAAAACACACAACCAGGAAATAGTTACAGAAAAAGATGCTCAGGGGCTGGAGAGATGGTCCAGTGATTAAGAGACCTGGCTGCTCTTCCAGAGGACCCAAGTCCAACTCTTAACACCCACATAGTGGCTCACAACCTCTATAATTCCAGTTCTAGAGGATTTGATGGCCTCTGTAGACATTGCATGCATATGGTACACATAATACATGAAGGTAAAACATCCATACACATAAAATATAAATAAATAAAACATTTTTAAAGCGATGCTCAACATTATTTGCCACCTGATAAACACAAATCCAATTGACAATGAGGTTTCTACTTTATGCACACTATGACAGCAATGGCTATAATCAAAAAAGCTGGAGAGAAGGGTCAAAAGAATTTGTACTGCTCTTTCAGAGGACTCTAGTTTTAGTTCAAAGCATCCACACTGGATGGCGCACAACCAGCAACTCCAGCTCTGACATCCTCTCTGGCCTCTGTGGGCATCTGCACTTCTATAAAGAGACACACATAATTAAAAATAAAAATGAAACTAAAAACATTAAACTAAAAACATTAAAAAAAAAAAAAAGGCAGTCGAAGGCCAGTGAGATGGCTTAGCAAGTAAAGGCACTTGCCACTAAGCCTGATTCAGATCTGATTTCAATCCCCAGAACATGCACTATGAAAGGAGAGAACCAACTGACCTCTGTGTCTCCTCC